CCACCTTGGCAGTCTCAACTAACACTCTACCATCACTGCCCTTCACGCAACGCACGTGGTCCAGATCTTGGGCCTTCCTCTCACGCACTTTAGCAAGCCGGAACAGTGTATTAACACCGCCTTTCTCCTCAATATCCTTGTAGAGGCGTTCAAAAGCGGCATTCTTTGCCCTTGTAACCTCTAACTTAGATTTTTTACGTGCCTTCTTGTACTCCACTCGTAACGCCGCTCTTTCTTCCTCAACATTGCAGCCCATGTACCTCAAATATGCCACCTTCTTAGCTTCCACCTTACTCTGGACTGAATCGCTCCACCACCAATCACCCTGCCGCCTACTCCCTGAGCCAGAGCTCACACCAAGCACTTCCCTGGCAGCTTCCCTGATGCAGTTAGCAGTCTGCGTCCACATATCAGCAGCCTCTCCGGCCGATTCCCACGCCCCTTTCTCCTACACTCGCCCCTTTCTCCTGCACATACCATTATTGAATCGAATTATGCACACATAAATATTTAAAATAAAGTCTAAAAAACAATACTTGTATATGAAAATGATAGAGATAGACAAGGTTAATCTTATTTTTACATAAGAACAAGCATTCATAGTGTAACTAATCACTACTGCAGGACTTATTATTACTTTTACTTTGTACTCCGTGGTATAACTAAAAACATGGTTGTGTTTCGTTTGGAAAAAACTTCTGAAATGATATTGCTTTGCATAGTCTTTGCTTGCACGTGTATGGCGGGCTTAATGTGTTTCTGTTATTGGGGCAGGATGAAAAGGAGCTACAAAAAATGGCAATGAAACGACATCGTGTCTTGCGTTCTGCTACAGAGTTTAGATATGGATACAAACTTGTTGTATGCTTCTAGTCTCTACTTTATTTGGGTCTGTTTGAATATAGGGCTTTTAAGGGTTTAGTGTGTGTGAAATGTCATATGATCACATATCATGTTAATCTTTCAACTTTTATAAAATCTCAAATATATATCCCCTCCGTCTTTAAATCAATTTCACACTTTCCTTTTTTAGATGTCTACAAATCAAGTTTACACTTCTCCACTTATGTATTAGAAAACACATGTTGACAACTTTAATTCTCTTTTCCAAATAATCTTCAACCACACATTTTTCATTTTTTAGCAGTTTTCAACACTTTTCTTTAACTTCAAGAAGTCAAACCTTAAGATTGGTTTAAAGACAGATGGAATATATATCAAGATATAGATCATAGGCTAAGCTCTCCAAACCCTTCACCTCCAATCCCCTACAAAAGTATCCACCCAAACATAGGCTACGAGCACAATATTTGTATTAACAAGACTAACTATCTCGTTATTATTATGATTATTATTATTATTACTATAATTACTATTTTTACAATTATTATTATTATGTGTCAAAATATGCAGGAGAATAATAATTTGAGGGCTGCACTCTCTACCTCAGATATCATCGAGGTAAAAACTGATGCAGCCTTAGTAGTTGGTATGCCTTTTATTCTACTTATTCATACTTCTGATAGCATTTGTAACTCTTTGAAATTGCAGCTTCCACAAAAGCATGAGCTTAAAACCGTTCTTGATAAAGTGAAGGACTTCTTCGGAGACGCCAAGGAATCATTTGGGAAACTGACAGCTCTTAATTTGTCTTCAGATTCAACCGGTGAAGATTCCGATGAGAATTCAAATGAAAAAACTATGTGAGCCATATGGTACACACACACACACAAAGAAAAGCCAACAAGGGTAAAATAATCATTTCACCATTACCATTTTACCTTTACATATACTTTTCCCCCTTACTTATTCCATACAACATGGGTAAAATAGTCATTTCACCCTTTAAGTGTCATCCGGCCATCTGGGTGGTCAACGTGATAAAAAAATTTAGCATAATTCCAACATCTGAGGACTGTGAACTCAGTGTGAAATTATTTGCTTTGTTGTCTTTTTACAGTTTACTTGACATTATGTGTGTGCTTGTACACTTATCAGGTTGAAAGGGTAAAAAAAAAAAGGCGGCGTATGGGGGGGAAATGAGGTTCATTTGAATTCAGATGTGGACAGAAGTATAAGAAGAACACAAGAGGAAGGGGAAAAGTTTTGGCCTTTTCATTGTGTTGATACCCTACAAGAGGATTGTTTCTTGTACTCTAGGGGCAAACTGTATTGCACACTCCGATGTACCTACTTTCGTGTACATACAATGAACCTTATGTAACTCGTAAATGTGCATACGCTCAATGTGAGCTTTTCGGCAATTTCATTGTTAAGATTTCGTTTTTTCTCTTTTACGCGTCATCAGAAGTGTTATTAGCAAGACAATAAAAGTATTTTTTAACAAAACGAGCATTTTGCAATTATTAGATGTATATATATTAATTTCATAATTTACATGCTTATAAGTATATGCAAAAAATAAATGTGTGGAATGAGTATCTTATGATTTATAAATGTGAATTCCACAGGAAGAAGATGTACAACTTTTACTACAAATTTTAAAGCCATCTTTCTGGAAGCAATTACCAATACATGGATGTAAATTGTGTATGGCAAACATATAATATGAAAATCCTAATTTCCCAATCATTTGAGTCCAGTCATTTTTTTTAAAATATTTCTCAGATTCAACGAACACATTGTTTTTTTCCCGTAAAGGACACGCATGGAAGGGCGCATGTTTGAATCCATTTAGGGCGTTGACTCACTGTTGCTGAAAAAGTACATATGAATAGATATTACATCGTGATAGAGTTAATAATGTTCAAAGAAGAAACACTATGTGCAGTGATAGGGAAATGAATTTTGAAAAGTGTCTCAAATTTACTTTATTTTTCTACTTCATAATTATTCTATGAGTCCCAAAAAAAAGCTCGGAGCTTAACTTGACATAAAATTTAAAGGAAATGAAAATACATGGTTAAAGGTGATCTAGAGAAGAGAAAATGATAAGAAGCTCAAATTTTTCCAAAATAAGAAAGAAATGCTTTTTCTGAAACATCTCAAAAATAAAACAAAGTCCTTTTTTAGGATGAGAGAAATAGTAATAGAATACTCCCTATTCTTTTCTCACAACTGCAAAAAATGGCACATAATTTTCACTTTCTTAATTTATGAGCTTGGTCAAATTTAATTCTGGTTATGAAAGTCGGGGGGGGGGG